ACAGGCGTGAGCCACCGCGCCCGGCCGGTTTTTTATCTTTTTTAGAGATGAGGTTTCTTTGTTGTCCAGGCTGTATTACTACATTTTAATTACAAAACTCACATCTGAATTCAGTTCCCTTTGTAAGCACTTAAAATACGAGACTTCAAGCTAAGTTTTCTGCGGTCGCCACCTCTGCAGCCCCCATATTTGCTCCTTTGCCCAGGAGGGCGGCTCTCTCCAGCTGGACACGTGTCCTCCAGGCCCTTCCTGAGGTTTTACCACATAAACACGGACATGTGCACATGCATAAACACACGTGTGACGTGCCCTCACATACAAATACATGTTCTAACATAAAACTACATGTGTGCACATGCGAGTGTGCGCGTACTTGTACACATGCATACACATAAACATGCACACTACAAACACATGGACACACATAGATGTGAGCCCATGCATATGTCCACAGACGGTGTGTAATGTGTTTCCTCCACGGAACAGTGTCCCCGAGATCTGTCCAGGACGTGACGGCATGGTGAAAGAAATGAGTCGCGGCAGATTGCGCTGCAGGCGGCATCCACACAGAGTTCAGGGCAGCGAGCGCCGCCCAGACAGAGACAGCGGGTTGGGGTGATGGCCGGGGGTCACGGGCTCTCCTCGGGGTGATGAAAATGGTGTGCAGCTCAGCGTGGTGACGGCTGCGTCACTGCAGATACTGAAAACCACTGGGTTGAAGGGGCGGCGGCGGGCGGGGCGGGGTGAGCGTGTGTGTGTGAATCGTGTCTCGCGCTGGGCTGCCGGTCCACGCCAGTGCGGAGGCCGGGTCAGGTTCCGGTGGGGGCTCTTCCTGGCCCACAGACGCGCCTTCTCACCATGCCTGCGGGTGCGGACGGGGCAAGGGGGCACGCTGGGTCCTCTGTCATGGGGCTGACGACCCCACCGTGAGGGCTCTGCCCTGTCACCTCCCAACAGCACCACCCTGGGGCGGGGGTTCAACAGTGAATTCTGCGGGAACACACTCAGTCGGGAACTCAGCGACGCAGTTCAGGGAAACGAAGATCCGTGTCGGGTCATTCTTACCAAGCTCCCGCAAACAGCCAGCAAGCCCTCTAGAGCACAGGGGCCTCCGTGCACGCCGCCGTTGGTGGACGTCAAGGGCCAGGTTCTCACCCTGGCCGCCTGCGCCGTCGTGGACGCCCCTCGTGCTCCTTTGCGCACACTTGGGCGTGTGTCTCCAGGAGAGAAGTGGGCTTGGCCACCCCCAGAGTGGTCACACGGCCTGCCACTCGCGATGGTGCTGGCCACAGGCCTGTACCTCGTCCATCCCAGGCACGGACAACGGTCCTGCAGCCGTGTGGGTCGGCATCTCCAACCCGTTCAGTGTTTGGCTTCCACCCTCGCTCAGGTGCTAAGCTGGGCGCCTATGCCGTGCCCTGCCTGGGGCACAAGGCCCGTCCCCGACTCTTCTCCGCCGTCTGCGTCTGCCTGCCGGGCCGAGGTCCAGCGGGGGCCACGGGCTCCTGGTGCTGGTCCCCATGCAAGGGGGGCACCCCCCCAGGCCACACCGGCCGGAGCCACACAGCACCCACGGCCCCTACTGAGCAGGTGGTGTCCATAGTTCTCTCCCCATCTTCCCTCAGACTCTGCCCCAAGGGAGCAGAGAGGCATGAGCGCGCATGCCTGGAGCCCAGGCCTGAGCGTGAGCGGGTGGGCAGAAGGCAGGTGCCGCCAGGCCAGGCGGGCTCTCCACACAGGCACAAAGCTCACCTGTCTGCGGTCGTGGGGGCTCTTGGGGCAGGCTCACCCCAGACCCCACCTCTGACCTCTGCTCTCTCTGCAGGCATCGGTGGGCTCCGACAAGCTCTTTGCCCCGGCGGCCGATAAAGGTGAGCACACCTGGCTGGCATCCCGAGTGCTATGTGGCATTTCCGTCGGCTCTGAAAGTATTCCAGTCCCCAGGCCAGGACAGGCTCATGCAACCTGAGTCCATCAGCCGCGAGGGGGCATCCCCCCCCCACCAGCTGTGTGCAACGAGGAGTGGGGGCTCCAGGAACTCCCAAAGCAAGGCCTGGGCCGGCAGCGTCTCTGTCGGGTGCTGGTTCAGAGCAGAGTCTCGGGAGTCTCTGCTCCCCACCCCCCGGGGGCTGCCAGCTGGCACAGCCTTGCTGCTGGGAAGGCTCCACCCGGAAGTGATTTGAGGTGGATGCTTGCAGCAGTTCCCCCCTGGCGCAGCAGGCAGGCATGGCTTCACGCGCTTCACGTCCAAGCATCGCGGCAAAGTGGCTTCGAGTTGCGTGGTGTCAGGGCAGGACAGGCACTGGACGGCCCTGGCAGGAGAGGGGCAGCTGGTGCTGCAGGTGGAACGTGCGCAGGGTTGTGGGCTGGTCTGCACGTCCCCAGTGGGGATGCTTCTGCATGGTGCACACTGCCAGGTGTCTGCCAGGTGGGCCACATCCTGTGTGCACGGCCAAGCCTGCCCCTCTCCATCCTCACGTCTGCTCTCAGTTGGCAAGGGGCAGGAGTGTGGAGAGGAGAGGGATCCCCATGAGACTAACCCCAGAGGAGAGAGGAGTGCTCGGGGGGTTGGGCAGAGACAGTGCCCTGGGACACCCAGTCGAGGCCGGGGCTCCTTGCTCACCCGTATCCTGAGGGAGTGGCTTCCTCGGGGCGCAGGGCTGTGGCTGTGGCGGGAAGCATCACCCCAGGGGCCTTTGAAGGATGGCTGTGGGATCAGCGGCCCCTGAGAGCCACGGCTCGGCTGTCCCCAGGCCCCGAGAAGGAAGCACGTGTGCCTCGCTCTGAAACCTGGATCTGTTCGTGCAAAACTGGAGGAGGCAGGTGTAAGCTCAGGTCCCCCAGGGTGGACACCACCCTCCGCCCGGCCCTGGGGAAGATCTGAGACTCTGCCTGGCGTGGCCTCAGCAGCAGGATTTAGGGGTGTGGTAGGAGGAGCAAGCCTGGGGAGGGTCCATCCACCCTGGGCGGGGACAGCATCCGAGGAACAGTGGGTGAGGGCAGCCAGGTGGCCGCAGTAGGGGAGTAGCTTCCCCACCAAGCTGCCTGATGTCCTTGCCCAGGTTCCTGGGGAGTGGTCACTCCCGTCCTGGGGCTTCTGGAAGGGGAAGGTGGGCACCTGCGTAGGCAGTGTGGCAGCTGAGACGCGTGCGCTGGGCCTGCGCAGGGAGGAGGGTGGGCAGGCGCCGTAGGGAGTGGGTGGCACCGGGCCCAGGGAGATGCAGGTGCAAAGTCACTGAGTTCCTGGGTTCGAACCCAGTTCCCCTCTTGGGCCAAGTCCTTGGGGTACCTTGGCTTTGTAAAGTGGGGTCCCTCTGCCGTGATGGCCCTGGAGCGGTCAGCTGCCCTCCTGGTGGCGGGGCCGGGGCAGAGTGCAGCGCTCCCTGCGCCTGGTTCCGTGGGACTCTGCTGGCAGCAGGACGCGCTGGGCTGCGGGGAGCAGTCGGGGGCCGGACTCGGGGTCGCAGCTGCCGCTCTCCCCGCAGGCCCCGCGCGGCGCGAGAAGCCGGAGGCCAAGGCCGGGGCGGTGCCCAAGGTGTCGGGCCTGGAGCGCAGCCGCGAGCTCAGCACGGGCTGCTTCCCGCCCGCCAGCCCCGCGCCCCTCGCTGCGCCCTGCGCGGGGGCCCCGCCGGCCCGCGCCAGCCCCCTGGTGAAGAAGGAGGCCCCGGCCCCGCCCCGCCACACTCCGCAGCCGCCGCCCGCGCCCCCCCAGCCCCGCGGCGCGCTCCCGACACACGTGCCTGCGTCCCTGGGCGCCTTCGCGGGCCCCGGCCTCGGCCTGACGGCGCCGCACGGCCTGCACGGCCTCAGGTGGGGCCCCGGCGAGGGGCGGGGTCTGTGCGGCCTCAGGCGGGGCCGGGGGAGGGGCGGGGCCTGAGGGCCTCGGTGGGGGCGGGGCCTGCACGGCCTCGGGTGGGGACCCCGGTGAGGGGCGGGGCCTGGGGGCCTGATGGGGTCCCCGGGCTGGGGGCCGCGGGGAGGGCGCGGGCGGGCGCTGAGCCCCGTGTCCCGCAGCAGGAGCAGCAGCGCGGGCAGCGGTGCCGCCCTCGGCCTGGCGAAGCACGTGTCGCTGTCGCCGCACGGGCCGGGCCCCCACCTGTCTACCTCACACCTGGCGCTCCGGTCCCAGGCGCAGCACCAGCACCACGCAGCAGCCATGTTCGCTGCCCCCGCGACACTGCCCCCGCCCCCGGCGCTGCCCGCCGGCAGCCTGGGCATCCCGGGACACCCCGCTGGTAGGTGCCCTCCGCCTGGTCTCGCCTGGGCTGGGTGGGCGGATGCGGGACGCGACCCCCGGGAGGCGCGTTCGGCGGGGCTCGGCCCAGGCGCCACCTGGCGGCCCCTCCCCGGCGGAGGCGGCAGGCCGTGGGCAGGCGCATGGTGCACAAGCAGGACACACGTGCTCACGCGCGCACCCGCAGGTTCGCTGCGGCTGGGGCGACTGCCCTCCCCCGCCCTCCTGCGTGAGGGCTGCGCCCGCCGGGGCGCGGGTGGGGGCGGGGGCCTGGGGGTCCGAAGCGAGCAGAGCCCCCCACCCGCCCAGGCTCCCGGAGCTTACGCCGGGGCCAGGTCTGAGTGGCCCGGGCAGGAGGATTTCTCCCCCGCTCCAGCTGCCGCCCGAAGTTCCGAGTCAGCCTGCCCGGGGCGGGGCAGCGCAGTGGTCCGGGGGGCTGGACCCGGCTCCCGGGTGGCGCCCTCCGAGGAAGGCCCCGCGCCCGCCCGCGCAGGCTCACCCTGTTCTCTCTCCCTCCAGATGCCAGCCTGTTGATCTCATTCAGCCAGCCAATCATGTATTGCCAGCCTCATTCGGGGATTCTGATTGGTACTTGGTCACAGGCCCCTCTCTTACCTCCACCCTTGGGCCCGCACCTAGCGAGCGGCCGCCACGGCTTGGCCTGCCGACCCCGGGAGTGCCAGGTGACTATCCGCCTCGCCCCGCCGGGAGCCCGCGGCCGACGTGCCTCTCTGTCTCTCTCTCTTTTTCTCTTGTAGATCACGAGCTGCTCAGGCAAGAGCTGAACACGCGGTTTCTGGTGCAGAGCGCCGAGCGGCCTGGCGCCTCCCTGGGCCCGGGGGCTCTGCTGCGGGCGGAGTTCCATCAGCACCAGCACACACACCAACACACACACCAGCACACACACCAGCACCAACACACATTCGCCCCCTTCCCCGCGGGGCTGCCCCCGACGCCGCTCACGCCGCCCGCCGCACCCCCGCCGGTGCGTAGGCCCGCGTGCTGGCAGGGGCGGGGGGTGGGCCCGGGGCGGGGACATGCAGCAGGCACACGCAGACGCACGCTCGCACGCACACGGCCGGCCAGGCCGGCGGCATCTGTCTGGACGGCGGGGCCGTGCCCCGGCCGCCCTCTGGCCTCCCCCGAGTCACGCCGCAAGGTCCCCATCCTGGGCCGTTGTTCTGGGCTTGGGCAGGTGTCCCCTGTCCACATGTGGGTGACACATCCTTGGGGCCAGTCATACCCACAGTGGGTCTCCGTGCCAGGTCTGGAGGCCCAGAGAGGACTTAGGGGCCCCAGGGCCTGAGGCTCCGTCCATGTGGGTTGCCCGGCCCGGGGCCGTGTCTCCCCAGGCGCTGCCGTGTGGCTGGGTTTCCTGGCTCCCGCCCGAGGTCCTGGGTGAAACTGGCCACGTCTTCCGTAGCCGGATGTGTCCCGCAACCAGGGCTTCATGCCCCTCCCCCAGCCACGGCCCTCTGGGCACACAGACCCCCACTAGAAAGGGGGCTCCCTGGTCTGCAAACCTGGGCCCCGCTGGGGTGAGTGCAGGCCTGTGGGGCCGGCGTGCTTGCGCCTGGGGGCAGCCGGCCGCTGCCTCGGGAGGCCCAGCCAGGGTGGGCAGGTGCTGGGGCCCCAGGAGGGCGTCGGGTGCGGGCTGGGGCCTCACCTCCACCTCTTTCTCTTCCAGTTTGACAAGTACACGCCTAAGCTGGACAGCTCCTACTTCCGACATTCCAACGTGAGTGTGAGTGTCCCCGGGCGTCCCTTGGAGCCTGTCCCTGTGCCTGCCGCGGTGGCCTTGCGCCTGGGCAGGGCTCCGTCCCCCGCCGCTCGGGCCAGGCCCTGGGTGCAGAGGGAGGGACAGGTGGGGGCCCTGCAGCCTCTCCCTTCTCTTGCAGTTCTTCCCGCCCTTCCCTCCCGCCATCCCGGGACTGCCTGCCCTGCTTCCGCACCCCGGCCCCTTTGGGTCCCTGCAGGGTGCTTTTCAGCCCAAGGTACCAGCTGCTCCTGGCAGGTGGGGCGGGCACAGCGGGGGTGGGGCTCCGGGTGGGGAGGGGGCTGCGAGACTGCCCCACCCAGCCCTGTCCCAACCTGGGCACTGCCAGGTGGGGGTATGGGGGGTTCTGGACTGGAAGTGCCCCAGGGAGGGGATGCAGCGGGCAGAGAGGAGCACGTGGCGGCTACCGGCGCCCACGAGAGGCTTCAGCCTCGACGCAGAAGACGCCCCGCCCGGCAGGACCCCCAGCGTAGGCAGCAGCCAGCACGGGGGCGTCCGCACCGCAGGAGGCCTGGGGCAGCAGGAGGTCGTGCCGCAGCGCCTTCCCCAGGACAGCGGGCGTGTGTGTCCGTCTGCCACCGTGGCAGGGCGAGGGGCACGAGGACAGGCATTGGCCCCAAAGCCACCTCGCCTTCAGGCCCTGGGCCGCTCCAGGTCCCAGCCAGCCCCGACCTCACAGGACACCGCCATGACTGCCACTCGCTGCCCAAGGCTGCCCTGATGCCCTAACCCTGGCACCGCCCCACATCCCCGCCGGGGGGGGGGGGGGGGGGGGACAGGCCCAGAGGGTCTTCTGGGCCCCAGACAGCCTTGGTTGATGGTTCAGAGTCTGCCTCAAGAGGGGCGCCTGGGGAGAGGGTTCCTCAAGCCTGGGCTCCAGGCGCTCCAGCAGCCAGGGACGTGGAGGCCCTGACTCGGGTGGGGGGATGCGTCCCGGCCGAGCCCTCTGCAGGCCGCTCCTGGGCAGGACAGCGCCTAGAGCGCCATTCCTGCGAGGGTGACCACTGGGTGTGGTGTCCACTGCTTTGGCCTGGAGGGAAGGAGCCAGAAGGGCCAGGTTGCTGGCAGGAGAGATGCCCACGGCAGTCTCCGCTGCCGATCATGCCCTCCACGGAGCCCCCAGGCAAGGAGCGCAGGCCCGTCTCCCTCAGCCCGTCTGTGTCCACACTGCGTTTCCCCTTCCTGGGCGGGGCTGTCCTGGCTCCTGGTAGCAAGTGACGCTCCCAGGGCAGCTCACCCTCCCGACACGTCAGTGCCAGGAGCCTCTTCCCAGCTTTGTGGAGACTGCTGGACGGAGGGCGTGGTGGTCTCTGCAGGAAGCCGGGCCCCTGGGCGGCAGCACGGAGGCCCGTCGGCAGGCAAGGCAGGGCGCAGGCCAGCGCCAGGCCAGGAAGCCGGAGCCGTGGGAGGTCCCGCAGTGCACAAGCTCTTTCTCTCTCCTCTTCCTCAGACTTCAAACCCCATGGAGATGACGGGCCGGGCCAGTGCCGTTCACACCCTCCTGCAGAAAGCCCCCGGGGTAGGTGTCAGCGGGAGTCCGCCCCTGCCCCAGGGGGATGTCCTCGCCCAGCCCCACCAGGCAGCAGAGGGGCCGTGTCCCCGCGTCCCCGGGGCGCGGCCTCCCGCAGAGCCTGGACCTGACACTGCTCCCCGTTGCCACAGGTCTCTGACCCGTACCGGGCGGTGGTCAGGGTGAGTGTGTGCTTGTCCTTGGGGAGAAGGGACCGGGTGGCCCTGGGGGTGCCTGTCACCGTGGAACCTGGGAGAGGCAGAGGGGCGGGAGGAGAGGCCGGCTCCCCCCAGCCCCCGCTGAGCCGCGCCGCGGTCCCGCCGCAGAAGCCGGGGAAGTGGTGCGCCGTGCACGTGCAGATCGCCTGGCAGATCTACCACCACCAGCAGAAGATGAAGGTGAGGACACGCCGGGCGCGGCCGGCGGGGGTCCCAGGGCGCCCTTGGCTCGTGGCGTCCCTGCGTGCGTCTGCGAGGCCTCCGGGGCGTTGGCGGGAGGCCCCCGTGAGGGGCGCGGGTGGAAGCCCCATCTCCAGCCTGGGGTAAGACCCGGAGGGTGGGAGGGCGCCCAGCGAGCCTGTGCGTGTTCACACGCATGTGTTCCCGCGTCTGACCCGCGGGCGCTGGCCGCCTGCCCCTTGCTGAGCTTCACTCTGAGCAGGGCGGGGCACTTCCCGGAGGGGCCGTCCCTGCTCCCCTGGGTGCTCGGGGAACCTGCTGGCTCCGCCCACCGCGGGCCCGTCGCGCGCTCTCTCCTCACACTGTTGACACGTGAACTGGGTATACCCCCGCGTTCACGGAGCTGACGTGCTCTGAGGGGGTGGGCAGAGAAAGAGGCAGCCCCAGGGGACGTGCGTTACCTTCGGGGCAGTTCTTGAGTCATTATGTTCTGCGTGCGCTTTGTGGGAGAGGGATTATGACGCAGAACCCTGTGTTTTGATGTGTGGACGTTGGGTGGGACCTCCCAGGACACAGCCGGGACTCAGAGTCGCTCCCAGCGCGGTGCCAGTGGGGCCATGGGAGGTGGGAGATGGCCCACGCGGCCTCCATGATGCCTGGCTGCACCCTCGGAGCACAGGGCAGCCGAGGCAGGTCCCATGGTGGCGCAGGCGGGCCGAGAGCGCCCCACGTCACTGCGGCCCTGACAGAGCGGGAGCCGGGCCTGAGCGCAGTTTGGCAGCAGGATGGGAAGGGTGTTGGGGGGGGTGTCGCTGGGACACGCTCGGCCCCTGCGGCTGCAGCCAGGAGAGCACCAGGGTCCCGTGTAGCTGTCCCCAGCTCCGAGCCCTCTGCCCCGTTCTGCGTGGCGGCCACGGCCTTCTGTGGCCCACAGCGCCTGATGTGGGGCCAGTGCAAATGAGGGGCGGGCGTTAGTTTTGTTTAATGTCAACAAATTTAACTTTTCAAACTGATACTGATGCTGGATTTGGTCCTGGGAAAGCCCTTAGGCATATTCAGAACAACTTGGGCACGTCGGTGCACGTTCTTAGCTCGAGTTTTGAGAATCTAAATGCAAGTAAGTATTTTCAATGAAATGTTTCCAAATTGAGACGTGCTTTACGTATAAAGTGTGCACCGGGCTGCAAAGACCTAACGCGCGGTGGAACCGCTTGCCGACCCGTCTCATGGTCCGTGTTGTAACGACACCCGGTCGTCCCGTGTCGGGAGCACGGCAAGCGCCAGCCGCCCGCGTCCCTGTCGCCCTGGCAGCTCTGTCCTCCCGCAGGTGCCGCTGGACCCACACAAGCTGGAGGTGGGCGCGAAGCTGGACCTGTTTGGCAGACCCCCCGCCCCGGGCGTGTTTGCCGGGTTCCACTACCCGCAGGACCTGGCCCGGCCGCTCTTCTCCAGTGCAGGTGAGACCCCCACGGCGCCTCTGCGGGGATGGGTCCGAACCGTCTCCCCGTCCGGCCAGCTGTGCAGGAAGCGGCATGGGGGAGGCACCTGCCGGGCGCACGGGTCCCCAGGATCAGGGCGAGGAGGGACCTGGAGCAACCAAGCTGGTCTTACCAGAAACGCGCCCTCTGGAATGCAGGACGCCCCCCTACTGAGTACAGGGCTGACACCAGCTCCACACGGGGGCTGGGGGTGTTGTTGGGGGAGCCGGGGCAGGTGCTGAGGGGCACCTGTGGGCCTCTGTCAGGCCCAGGACGCAGCCTTGTTGTAAGTAGCAGGGGTCACTTAGCAGCTCTCCTGGGTGAAGACTCCAGCGTGACTGGCTTTGGGAGCAGCCAACTAAGGCCACTCCCATGGGGACGCCTCCTCTGTGTCCCTGCCCAAGCTGGGGGCCCCCCCTCCTCCGGGCACCTCCCTCCCTGCGGCCCCAGCCTCGTCCTCCAGATGTTGAGAGGAGAGTAGGTCCCACCCCCGCCCTGACCGGACACTCCTTCGCCCCACGGTCGGGCCGTTCCGGAGAACAGGCAGCAGAGGTGCCCGCAGGAAGCTGGGCGCCCACTCGGGGCCTCTGTCAACTCGGCTCCCCCACAGGTGCCGCCCATCCCGCCACCAACCCCTTCGGACCCTCAGCTCCCCCTGGCAGCTTCCTGCCTCCTGGTCACCTGGCAGGTGGGTGTCCCGGCCGCGGTGGTGCGGTTGGGGGATATCAGTGGGCAGGAGGGTAACCCTGAGCCCCAGGGCACCCCCCCAGCGGGCTGGGGAGTTAGGTGGGAGTCCCGGCTCAGCCTCGCTGACCCCTGACCCCTGGTTGCCCCGCAGACCCTTTCAGCAGGTCGAGCAGCTTCGGGGGCCTCGGGAGCTTGGGGAGCCATGCCTTCGGGGGCCTGGGCAGCCACGCTCTGAGTAAGTGACGTGCACAGGCACCGCCCTCCCCCCGCAGTGCCCACTCGGGTCCCAGTGGACAGCAGGGCCCCTCCTGCACCCCTGCGGGGCTCCTGGGGCACAGTGGGGGCCGGCCGGCCTCACACTCCCTGGGTTGTGCCCCCAGCTCCTGGCGGTGGCAGCATCTTTGCCCCCAAGGAGGGCTCCGCGGTGCACGGCCTGCCCAGCCCCCACGAGACCTGGAACCGGCTGCACCGGGCGCCGCCCTCCTTCCCTACTCCGCCCCCGTGGCCCAAGTCCATGGACACGGAGCGGGTCTCAGCCCTGACCAACCACGACCGAGAGCCAGACAAGGGCCGGGAGGAGCGTGAGCGGTGAGTGGAGTCCGCCCAGCCTTCCCCGGCCCCATCCCTGCCTGTGCACAGACCTGGGGGCTCGGGCAGGTCGGACCCAGCCCCGCCCTCGCATCTCCCCACGGAGAAGGGGCTGGGAAAGGCCTAGTGAGCACGGCCATGTGCTGGCCCTGGGGGTGCCCACGGGGTTGGGGGAGTGATAGGAACTTTGCGCCCTGGCTTCACGGACTCAGTTTCCAAAGTGGGGACAGCAGATGCAGAGCTTGTGCCCCAGGGAGGGCAGGTGGCCGAGGCTTCCTGCAGACGTGGGCTCAGAACCCCACGTCTGCCCCAAGGTGGCGCCAGTCTTCCTGAGACCTTCTTCTCCAAGGACGAGGCAGGGGGCTGGAGGATCCGGGGTGGTCCGGGGTGGGTGGATGCCAGGCGTCCACACGTGGGTCTGGAACCAGAGTTTGAGGCAGGAATTCCAGGGCTGGGGCAGCCGGCAGCTTCCTGGGAGCCCCCTGTCCTGCCAGAGCACTGGACCCCCTGACTGGCCCAAGGCCCCGGCCTCGGTGCTGGTTGCAGGCTCTGTGGTTCGGCTCTGGTGCTTCTAGGTGGTTTCCCAAGGGAGGGCAGCGTGGGGTGTTTGGAGACGTGGGGCGGTGGTTCTGCCGTCACCACCGGTGTGTTGACAGGGGCGCTACTGGCAGCTGCAGGAACTCGGGGTGCCAAGAGGACCCCCCCCCACACACCAGCGAACAGGGGCCCCTGCAGGTGATGAGAACAGCCTTCTAGGGGCTGCCGGCTGGAAGAGCCACCCTGGAGTGACTGAGCACGCCCGTCCTGTCGCCCCCAGGGACCTCCTGGAGAAGACGCGCCTGCTCAGTCGCGCCTCGCCCGCGGCCCCCGTGGGCCACGCCGTCAGCAGCCTCCTGCTCCGCGGCCAGGGCGAGCTGGGCCGGCCCGGGGTCCCCGCGGAGCGCGAGCCCGAGCCCCGCGTCAAGGAGAGCAGCTCGCCCAGGGAGGAGGGCGCCAAGGCGGCCTTGGGCGAAGGCCTGCGCCTGGCCGGCCTCCTGGGCCGCGAGCCGCCGGGGAAGCCGCCCGAGGCGCCGCAAGGCGACGTGAAGGTCAAGGAGGAGCGCGGGGAGGACGAGGCGGCCGAGCCCGCGCAGCCGGGCCCGGGCCGCGAGCGCCTGGGCGCGCCGGGCTTCGCGTGGGAGCCGCTGCGCGAG